TGTCATACATGCACATATTTCCTGCTTTCTGTACATATGTCATACATGCACATATTTTCTGCTTTCTGTACCTATGTCATACATGCACATATTTCCTGCCTTCTGTACATGTGTCATACATGCACATATTTCCTGCCTTCTGTACCTATGTCATACATGCACATATTTCCTGCCTTCTGTACCTATGTCATACATGCACATATTTCCTGGGAAGAAAGCTTGAGAGTCACTTCCAGATGTAGGAAGTTGAAGGTTTTATTTTTGTTTTAGCTATTATCATTTTGTTTGTCATTTAGAAAGGGTCTAAGTGGACCAGGATGCTATCACACTCACTATCCTGTTGCCACAGGCTCCTGGGTGCTATTGCATTGCAGCAAAGCTTCACCATCCCAGGCTTAGCTGAAGCTGTTTCTGTGGGGCCTACCACAATGGTTAGCCCTTGCAGTATTAGAGAGAAGTAAGCATAGAAAGTTCCAACAGGAAGGACTTCTGCCTCAGAATCAGACGTCAGCATCAAAGAGCTGAAGCTTGGAAACTGGAGAGCTAACCATTGCTGCATTGTGCAGAAGAAGATTCTGAAAAGAACAGGAAAAGGGGTAGGTTTCGGTAGTGCAGCTCAGTGTGAAGCATTTGCGCAGCAAAAAAAAGAGGCCCTGCGGGCTAGAGTAGAGAAGGAAGGAGGGAAGAAAAAAGAAAGGAAAATGGGGAAAGAAAAGAAGAAAAGGAGAGAGAGAGAGAGAGAGAGAGAGAGAGAGAGAGAGAGAGAGAGACTCATTGAATGAATTGAAACACAAGTCTGGCTTGCTAGAGCTATTCAAACTTGCCAACGCATGTCATCGTACTTCCCCGAGTCTGGAACTGAGTCTATATCCAATCAGATTGGCTAATATGGTCACTTTTAAGTTACCATATTTACTCTATCAGTGTGGAAGGTGGATGATTGGGGCAGGAGAGGGAGCCAGGGGACAATTTGGGGTGCTACAGTTTAGTAAACCAAGAAAAGGAGGAAGTGGAGGCCTGGGTTCAGTTGTTGACAAGAGGCATGAGGAAAGGTAATAATAGCCAGAGGCTTTAGGGAGAAAGAAGGCCACTGGAGCTGAACAGCCATCTAGACTAAGATAAGATGGACTCACAAAGGACTCTCAGGTCACGAACCTCTACAGCTAGGTGAGGCCAGTGACCGTGATATAAAAGGACCATTTCCAGATTAGACTCCCTCTCCAAAGAAGAGGAAAGCAGATGGAAGGAAAAGACAGAAAACAAAAAAGAAAAATCTAGGTCTAAACGGGGTCTCTCTGTGTAACCCTGGCTGTCCTGGAACTCACTCTGTGGTCCAGGCTGGCCTCAAACTCACAGAGATCCACCTGCCTCTGCCTCCCAAGTGCTTGGATTAAAGGTGTGTAAGGAGAACAAAAATAGATGAAATGAAGAGTAGAAAAGGATTCTAAGAGGAAGCAATCCTTTAGATACATGAATGGCCTATGACTTGAGCAAGAGCATTATATAGTATTAGCTGAGCCATACAAATCCCCAAGAGTGGAATACAGTTATATTTGGTAAACACAGGGAAAAGCCTCAAACTGGGAGTGTGAGCAAGAATGTCCACGGTAGCCTGTAAAACGACTGGTTACAAACTAGACCAATCATTTGACAATGCTTATAGCATCATGTATACCTGAAATCTATAGAGTTTGTATTAGCCAATTACACTTGGAAAATCTGGGAAATAAGGTGGACTACGGGGTCATGGTGGTATAGAATTCAAGGGTGGAGACTATTCGGAAGGAGAACGGTAGAAAAATAGTTCGGAGAATAACAGAGAAGGAACTTAAAATGAATGCTGAAAAGCATCCAGTCAAAACTGTGACTGAGCTAATAGAAGTTAAAGTGTGTGCAAGAGTCAGGCTTCAGGAGGCTGGAGATGAAGAAGGGGGAGCAGGAAGGCTGAACAACTCTTTCTTGAAGTTGATCACACAAACCCTGACTGCCTTTTTGAGATTCCTGCAGCAATCTTTCCCTGGAGCGTGGCTGGATCAAACTGATCTTCCCAGGGCTTTTGTAAACTGAACACTCTATAACTGTGTGAAGTTGACCTGGGACACAGTCTTGAGAGCCCAAGTATGATCACTTGTCTAAGAACCAAAGCCTCCGACTTGACTGATCAAAGTTTCTCATTTGCTTTGAAGCCACCTCCTTAGCAGATGTAGTGAAAAGCCTGCTCAGGTCTGGGCCCAGGACAGGATGCAGAGGCGTGGGAGGGGGAGCCAGCAGGTGCTAACTACACAGACAGCGTGCCTCGCAGAGCAGTGTGACTATTTCCTATTTGTCTTTTAAAATAATTTTGTAGGAATCACCAAGGCAATTTTATCATAGTTTCTACGTGAGGTTGGGATGTGAGAGAGGGGTTTCCACAGCTGAGTCTAGTTTGAATGCTGTCTGATATGACATCACACAAGCCATTCATACACATGTAATCCTGTGATAGGGTCACAACCTGAGATCGCATGGCCATGGTTTTGGTTTTTTTTTTTTCATTATAAAAAGAGATACCAATCATTTTGAAAACTCATTTCTTAGGCTAACAAAATCATTAAAAATAGGGATAACAGAGCCAGGTGGTGGCACACCTTTAATTTCATCACTCGGGAAGCAGATGCAGGGGAATCTCTGAGTTCGAGGCCAGCCTGGTCTACAAACCAAGCTCCAGGACAGCTGGAGCTATTATACAGAGAAACCCTGTCTTGAAAAAGCCAAAACCAACCAAATAAAAACAGTAGGGATAACTATATATTGTTTAAGGTGCCTCAAAAGTCTCTTTCATTCCCGTCTTTGCCAAAATGTATGGTCTAAGGAAGGCAGGTGACTGCCCTTTGTGTCAGAGATACTGAGCTCTACAGGGGCAAAGTGATTGGGGGGGGTCTTAAGAATTTATTGGTACAGCAAGGACTAGAAGCCAGATTTCTTGGTTGAAGTTCATTTTCTTATCCTTAGACACACAGCAGCACAACCGAGACCACGAAGACAGGCAGTGTGGCCAAATCAGGCTCCCCATTCTCACTTCGTTCCTCAAACACTGTAGGTAGCTTTGCCTTTCAGAAAAGGGATTCTTTTCCTCGAATTATCTTTCCAGTTACAACTTATTCAACAAACAGGGAGCCCTCTTTTGCTTTATGGCATACAGTTTTTGATTAGCAAAGCAAGCAAGGTGTCATTGAGCTTAGAGATTAGATAAACAAGGTCTTGAAACACGGAGCATGAAATCAATCCATATTTTTCTAACATCTGTTCCTTTCCCCTTATACCATGTTCCTGATATATTAGTAAGACTGAAATTGAAATGATTTATTACTAGTGGACTCATTTGTCACTTTCCTTGAAACTGGTGAGCCCCAAACTTTAGACAGTGATAGGAAAATACTGCCATTGTCTCTTAAGAAGTCTGTGACATTTCAAGGCAAGAATGAATGTATGGAAGACGAAAGTTGTTTCTTCTTTACTAACAAAAGGGAAAGCCTGGAAGTGAATGATATGGGTGCAATTTTTTTAAAAAAAAAAAAGGAAAGAAAAGAAAAGAAAAAACCTTTACGTAACTTTTTTTTTTGGTAGCTGGGACAGAAGACTACGAAGCACATTTTCCAGGAAGTGTGGGCTGCGACGATTGTGCGCTCTTAACTAATCCTGAGTAAGGCGGCCACTTTGACAGTCTTCTCATGCTGCCTCTGTCACCTTCTTGGTCAGAAGACACCATTTCGACTTTAAGCCAGCATGATAGAAACATACAGTCAACCTTCTCCCCGATCCGTGGCTCCCGGACTGCCCGGCAGCATGAAAATTCTTCTGTATATTTTTACAGCCTTTCTCATCACCCAGATGATTGGCTCGGCGCTTTATGCTGTGTACCTTCATCGAAGACTGGATAAGGTAAGGGGACCTACAAGCCTTTATTAACTGATATGGGGCACTGGTTGATTTCGATTCTACCCAAATGGTGGAGGACAGTAGAAACTCTAAGTGGATTAATAGTTTTGTTGCCTGGACAGTGGGGTCTCAGAGTTTTGCCTCTGACTAAGGGATCTGCTGAAGTCAGACAGCCTGGCTTCAAATCTTAGCTTGGCTCTTAACAGCTCTGAGATTCTGGGCATGTCACTTTATATTTCTATTGCTCTTTCTCCACCAAGAAAATAGAGATGAAAATGGCACCCCTGCCACAGATGAAATGAGTCTAGCCCTGCAGATCACTTAGAATAGGACCTGTCACATAATAAGTGCTAGGCCAGCAGCACTTAGAGTGATTGTCTGTAATTTGCTTTATAAAGTGAACTCTTTTTTCCCCCATGAAGACAACATTTTTCGTTAAAAATTTGACCCAGACAAAAAGAACATTGATTTGGTCTGAAATTCCATTGTGTTTTGGATTAGTACAGATATGTACAATCACCTCCATGTACAGATTTTTTTAAAAAAAAAATCAGAATGGTGCTGTCTGTACAATTCCTCAGTGTCAGCTGACATTGTAAGCTGCTCTGTTGTCCGCTGGGGTGTCTTCCACACTTAAATGATTGGGTACACAGGGAAAAAAGAGGGAGGGCCGGGGGAGAGTAGACTGTGTAGAAAAAGGTAACTTCAGGGCTCACCTTATATCCATGTATTGGTTCACTTCCAGTAAGGGGCATGCGGGTTGGTGTCACAAAATGACAGTCACAAGACTAGGAGAAAAATCTCGAGTTAAAAATCTTTAGCTGTCCCTAAAGTCTGGAAGTGAGGGCAATGGCTAGGCAACACCTGGATGCCTGGATATTTTTTGTCTGAGACCATCGGCTAGCCTTTCTTGAAATGAGGGCCTAAATGAAGGTCATGGAGTTCCTATCAATATAAGGAGAGGCAGTGATGGGTATTGAGAGCGGAGGCAATCTGCTTGCCTACTCAAACTGGATTTTACTGCTGGGCAAAGAGACAGGTTCTGGGTCTGATTGTTTATTTCTTTTGTGAGCTCTGTCAAATGCCTGGATATAAGCCTAAAGGGGAATGGGGAAATTACAACCCATATAGACTCAAATGTGCTATAACATTTAAGTGAACCCTTAATTACAGGCAAAGCCATTGGCGAATTTGTTTGGTTGATTTTGGATTTGTTTTTCCTTTCTGAGACAGAGTCTCATAATGTAGCCCAGAATAGTCTGGAACTGACCATAGTTAGACAAGACTGACCTTTAACTCACAGGAACACTCCTGCCTCAGCCTAGCAAGTGCAGGGATTGCAGGCATGTTCTCCCATGACTGTATCAGTTCTTGTTTTGAAAGTGAATTATCTACACTTAAAGACAAAAGCATGGTATGGAATTAGTTGACTACACAAGTTAATAGCATACATTTAATTACTCCAATATTGGAAAAGTAAATATCTCATTCACTTTGGGACTGAGAGACAATTTCTTTAAACATACAAATGCTTCCGATAAGTATTAGGGAAATGAGAGATGTAATTATAAATCCACGTTCCAGATGAACTTATTTAGAAAGTCCCATGTTGTGAACACTGCCGTGAAGTAGGCGAACTAGCTCAGCAGCAAACTGCATTATGGCTGATGGGAAATATGACAATTATAGGATATTGCTGCTGTGGTACATTAAAAACATAGACACTTTGTGATGAAAGGTCGCTAGAGTGGCCATGATTTCTATGCAGAGACGTAGATAACATGACATCTGGATCACTGGCTTTTTTAGGTTGCTAAATGGCAAGCATCAAACAGCAATAATTCAACATAATAACTTGTAATATTCCCCATTTATGCTCCCCAAGCCATCCTCTCTTCAGTGCTGTGAAGTGAATGTGGAGGCAGACATCATTAGCCATATTCTTCTTCACGATGACATATCTCACAAGCCTGCTATTTCACAACAGGTAGAAGAGGACGTAAGCTTTCATGAAGATTTTGTATTCATAAAACAGCTACAGAAATGCATCAAAGGAGAAGGATCCTTATCCTTGCTGAACTGCAAGGAGGTAAAAAGGAGATATGAAGACCTCATCAAGGTAAGGCGCTTAGTTCCTGGAGGACTCCACTGAGAAGTTTCAGTACGTTTCCCAGCTCCATGAACTGAATTCTGACACTAGAAATGTTTCAAACTGTAACCAGGGGTGGTGGTCACACCTTCAATGGCAGTGCCCTAGAGGACAAAGTAGGATGGCAGACTGCCACGCGTTCTAGGCCAGTTTGCTTCTACAGAGTGAGACATTCTCAAAATGTGCTGTATTTGAGCGCACGTGCTCATAAATACATGTGTGCATACACACATAGCTGGGTGTGGAATTGCACATATACAAAAAGCACAAAATAAAGACAACGCCTTAGGGTAAAATGAAGCAAAAAGTTGGACATGTTCACACCACTGCAATAGAAAAGGGTTTCTCTGGAGAAAATGCATCCCCGCATGCACAGCGACACATGGCTCATCAGTACACACATGTGACTACCACACAGTAGCTATGCAGCGCATACAGTTAGAGTTTTGTATTTCTGTATTTAATCATTCATCCTTTGATATCTTCCCATCATGAAACCAGGGTCTGATCTCTGGTTCGTAGTGAAAGTCATAACTTGGCAGGCCATAAGGAAAGATACTTTCTGTCCGGTCTTCAGTGCTTATCCAGCGATGCCATGAGAGCGTGCTCTTCCCTTCTGTTGCATGGGAAGAAGTGGACGCCCATTCTCAGTGCCCACTCACAGTAGAGCCTGTGTAACAGCGCTCGTTCATTTTAATCTAAAGGTTCGAGGCTTTCTAAACAACCCAACTGTCATCCAGCTTACTAGTAACTGTGTATCTAAAACATGAGTTTCCAGAATTTTTTCCATTTATTTGTTCACTACAAACATAAGTAAGCTTAAGGTGTTCTTTTTTTCCCCCTGAAACAGAACATCAAAAGCTCTCCTGCCACTTCCCTTCAGAGTGCTGATTCTAATACCTTTGGTTATCCATTGGTAGTTTAGGAGCTGCTCTAAGAAACAGCACTCACTTTCTGTTGAGGGCAGCTCTGTGTCCACTGGGCGGTCATCTGAACAAACCAACAGAAATCCATTCTTTTTGTTGTTGTTTTAGAGTTTTCGAGATAGGCTTTCTCTGTGTAACAGCCCTAGCTGTCCTGGAACTAGTTTTTGTAGACCAGGCTGGCCTCAAACTCCATGGAGATACGCCTACCTCTGCCTCCTGAGTACTGGGATTAAAGGCGTGGGCCACCACCGCCCGGTTCCAGAAATTCATTCTTATATAAAGATCATGTATAATCAAATAATGGAGCAAAGAGAGTAAGAGCTTACTTCATTTGTAAATTTGTGACACACGTGGAAGTCAGAGGACAACTTGCAAAACTTGATCCTCTCCTTTCACTACATGGGTCCTGCGGATCGAACTCGGATTCTCATGCTTGGCAGCTGGTCTTTGCCGCTGAGCCACCTCATTGTCCTCTTTAGATTTTACTTATGAATTTAATACATATATTCCTGTGCTGTTAGCAAGATGTAATTTAACCCAGTGAAGAAGATTCTAAACGTTTATTCCTGGGCCACTTACTGGGATCAGAATACAGTGCAAATCTGTCACTGTCTTTTAAGTTCTTTATACTAAACTAGAATTTATTTATTTAGATTTTGGAGACAGTTTTGTATAGCCTAGGCTGGCTTTGAACTTGCTATGTAGCTGAACATTTGCACTCTTGATTCTCCTGCATGTACCACTATGTCCAGTTTAATCCAGGTTTTATTGTCTTCATTCTCTACAACGCCTAATTGCTTTTCAAGTTAACTTTTTATTATACAAGGTTATAATACACCTTGTATTAACACCTGTATTGCAGAATCTATGATTTAGATAAAACTTCTAACACTTTATTTGCAAGACTGGTAAATTCAGAAAACATCTTAGGCTTCTGCAGGGCTTATAGAGGTGTGGGTGTAATATAAAGTATTGTGAGGTATTTCTAATTTTATCGTGCATAAAGCTATGTTAAAGATGATGGTTGATAATCACAAATAGAGTAATGATTATGTTTTGCTGAACAGCCTTGGGTAAATGATTTCATCTCTCTGAGCCCCAGTTACTCTTGTATTACATAAGGGGGATGGGACTCTGTAAGAACACTACCAGCTCTGGTCTTCCATCACTATGTGAACAATCTTCAATTTCCTTGAATGGCAGTGAAAGTGGCTTGGTTTTTCCCCCCATTTTTCTTTCTTGCAGAGAGGTTTCACAGGTGACCTGCCAATTCCCTTTGCCTTCATTTAGGTCTGATGTGGAAAGTTTCCAGAATCATCTACCCAGGATAGGAGTAAGGAAGAGTCAGTCCTGTCTGTATGGAAAAGAAAGTAGAATGGTTTTAGGCACATCAGCCAAGGCCCTAGTAACGTGCTCTGCCTGTCAGGGATGCCCCTTGCATCTACTACAGTAGCTTTGGAGCCCCAGGCAAAGCCATCTTAGCCTAGGGTATAGAGAAGCTGAGACGCAAAGCCTTCCCAGTCGGTTAACCTTCTTCTAGTTTGGTCCCCGTTTAGATCACCGTTGCCCTAGAGATCGGACTCCGAAACAGTATTTGGAACCACTTAGGCCAGCACATCAACTATAGACTAAATCCAGATTAGATCTGTGTTTCCTCAGCTAATATTAGTAGATTTGGGAACATGATCTGGCTGGCTCAGAGTAACCTTGAAGTCGCAGGGTCTGATATGATCCTAGAACTAACCAGATGCAATTCTTAGTTCTTAGAATTCCAGTCTTCTCTCCACTATCTCTAAAAAAGTGGTCACCCAATTTTTATTTAAATACCTCTCATGACTAAAAGCTCATTAACTCCAGAGACAAATATCACAGAGATGGGAGTCGGGGCTCATGGTAGGCCAAGTAGAAGCAGCACTTTGAACAACATAATTGCACGTTAAAATCTTCTTCACTCCCTGTCTAGAGGGTTCAGTCTTGTGGTTATCTGTCTACCAGTGCCCGAGGTGTCTTTGACGGCATCAAATCATTTCCATAAAGGGCACTATATCCATACCTGCCACATAGGTTTCCACTGAAAGAGAAATCATTAATCCACGATTTCTCTGAAATTTAACTTTTAAAAGTCTATCAGTTTAGGTGAAGAGTGAAGAAAAAAAAAAAAAGCTCCGAGGAGCGTGGCCTGGGGAGAGTTCACAAAAAGGCAAAACCGGGTGCATAAAAGACAAACTTTGCTGACTTCATGATTTCATCTGGGCCAGGCCCCAAGATCACTGCAACCATCTAGCCCAAAGTAGTATCTTAACTTCCATCATCACACACCAGTGGTTGAAAAGACACCAAACAGTCATTTGTTTACTTGTTAGCTCACAAACATTTTCCTGTTGCCGCACTGCCGTGGTGCCCCACAGCAGCTCAAATGGAAAGTTGGTCTGTGGAGCCCATGTGAACATCTGTGGAGCCCATGTGAACGTTTTAAGGCTCAGATTCCCCTTTGGGTCTCCATGCCTTACGCCCTCAGATCTGGCAACCGAGTTGGGCGGATTGCTATGTTAGTCAAGACTAACAACAAAAATGCCTTCTTGGAGTGAGGAAAGCGGAGGAAGGGCCCTGCAGACATTAGGTTCCAGGAATGTCAAGGAGCACAGGACTCTCAGGTGTGGAAACACTACTGTTTTCTTTCCCCTGTTGTTCAGAATCCAGTGATGAAACAGACTGAGTCAGGTCTGGGAATGCGGTCCTGTGTCCTGTACTTCATTTAATTCTCAGACCCTTTAGGTAACCTCATTCTTGCCAGGCCTTTCATTCGGGCTCCTTAAAATGGCGGCGATAGCCTTTATTATCTCTCAATCTACATAGGAGGAAGTCTGTGTTAGCTTCCTTAAGCGTGACTAGCATTCTCTCGCCTCATAAGTAGACGACATCTTTAAGTGTTGCATTTGGCTAGTCATTGTGGTGCATGGCTAAAATCAGCATCTGGGAGGTAGGAGCAAGAGGATCGGGAATTCAAGATCACTATCTGCTTTGTAACAAGTCGGAGATCAGCTTAGGCTGCATAAGAACCTGTCTTAAAAACACAAAACAACATGCATGGAATTGTCAAAAACTAAATACAAATCTTAAAAGGAAAACAAGAAACTACGTGTTTTGAAGACCATCACCAGCATTAGAAGAAGATGGCCTATATTTGCTGAATGTTGATTACTCTAAATAAGTACAGGCCATACAGGACAGTGACCACAAAAAGCACATTTTAAAGTAAAACTCTGGATTTCTCTCCCATGATCATATTCAAATCTATTCCTGTGAGGTTTCAAAGCAATCTTATTAGAACAGACCCACACCCTGCATTGTGTTTGATAATCTTCTGTATGCCAGTTCCCAGTGTTGAATTATTGCCCCCTTCAGCATTATTTATCAATATCCATCAAAGGCAGGGAGGCCAGGGTCATAGAAAGGGTCAGAATCACAACCTCTGGTCCGGGGAAAGCACTGTAATGGAGATAATAAGGCCTGGATTTTGCTTCCAGGGTCTCCCCTGAGTTTTGTGGGCTGTCAGCTCATCTGTCAGAGACAGGGACTCTCAATTGCTATGATGGAATTAACGACAGCATCTTCGTCTATAGTATAATCCTCTCCCGGCACAGGCAACACACTACTGACAGTTGCCAAATGAATGAGACCTTGAAAACCGCTAAAGCAGAGCTTCTGCCAACTAATCTTTTGCAATGATTCTCCTTTTAGGATGTAAGTTTAAACACAGAAGAGAGAAAAGAAACCAGCTATGAAATGCAAAAAGGTATGTCGTTATTTACCAATTTCTATAAATGTTTAAAGGGTACAAAGAAGCTTTAGGTTGACCACATGAAATAGGGAATACTTAGCCCTGGAAATAAAATAAAAGATGTTTGTCGGATTGGTACCTTCTCAGGCCTTAGTGATACAGAAAGGCTTTTCATGTCCACATTGATGAGGATACGTTCCTGTAGTATTGATAATATCAAATAGGAAGGAACCCCACCTCCAATACCCTTATCCAAGCAATCGCACAATCTGGCTCCACCTTCAGAGGACCAGATGTCAAGAAAGCCATCATTTGGTTAAAAAAAAATGGTATTCACCATTCAATGATAACTATTTTGTGGGAGGACAGTACCCAGTGGGTCTCTTGGATCAATGAATACAATGCTACATTCTCGTCTTTGCCTGTTCTTGAAGTGAGTGTGTCCTAGATATCTAGGGGTCATGAAGGGACCTTAATGGTCCAGTATACCTCTGAGAATATGAATCCCCTTAGAAGCAGCACTAAACAGATGACATCTCCTCGGTCATGGCTAGGGATAGAATACCTTATACTTAGTGAGACAACCTGCTCTATCATTCAACAGCTCTAAGAATTATATTAAAGTCAATATTTACCCCAAAACATCTTGCTTCAAATTTTGTTCCTTGAACGTCTACTTATTGGATGCATTTCTGTTCTTTGAGGCCATATTATGCACAGAACAATTACTTCCCTATATGATGGCTGCCTGGTTACTGAAGGCAGCAACCACGACCCTGAGTTCCCAGTGAACTTTTTCTATCTAGGCTGAATAGGCCCAGTACTTTCCACTGTCCCTCCATGATTCCTTCCAGGTTCTTTCCTCTCCCAGTCATGTCCTTTTCTGAATACAGCTCTCTCCAATTCCCTTTAGAATATAGTACCCCAAACCAGTGATGTGTGGAGTGAGTTGAGCAGCAGCAAAAGGGAAAGGGGGTGCTGCTGCAGAAACCAATATATTACTAAGTTATTGAACACAATGCTGTAGCTACACAGATTTAATGCACATGAGGAAATGCATACATATAAAGGTATAGACACTTAGGTGTCTTAGGTGAAGAGGGTGCTCAGAAACTATCTCAAGCACTGGTCTGTTGCCAAAGGCTCATCTGATTCTCCTGAAGCTTTCCTCCTCACAGTGAATGCAAGACATGTTCCGTGGTGCTGTGCTATCTGCTAATTACAGTGAGATTTTAAGGAAAAGCCCCTGTGGATGCTTCTCTTTAGAAAAATCATAAATTTGACAAAATTGGTCTGTCAGGTTATGCATGGTTTTTTCATCAAAACATCCTCAATAATATACTTACAAAATTCTCAGAATCAGGCTCATAACTGGAAAGAAAGCCCCCACAGTTTCTATACTTAGGAAATGAGTACTTTTATTTGGGAAGCAAGGCTCTTGCAAGACAACAGAACTCAAGGTCATAGTGTGAAAGTCATTGGACAAAATCAGACATGACAATCAACTAACTCAGTGCCCGGGCACAGCACTGGTGCCCACTACCACTCCAGTGTATGGCAGGTGTTCTTAAAAGCACAATTCAAGGCAGACTTAATGAAAGCAAATATAGTAGCCTGTGTCCTTCTGAGTTAAGCAGAACTGAGTATTGACTATCAGGAAAAGAGATCAATGGAAACAGCCAATACAGTCTTTAAGGTATTAGAAGCCACCCCTTCCTTCAATGGAAAGGATTGCTGGGCCAATTTTCCTTCCTTTAAGGTAACCTCAGTCACTATTCCGCTGTTGTAGAACTGGACCCATTAGTTCCATGAGCAGTTGTTGGTTTCCTGAGCCTAACAGTACGCTTTTGGTTTCATTTCAGGTGATGAGGACCCTCAAATTGCAGTACATGTTGTCAGTGAGGCCAACAGTAAAACAACATCTGGTAAGTTCTATAGCATCTGAGTGAAAGCCACCTAGTATGTGTGCATATGTGTGTGTGTGTGGGGGTACCCCAAAGCTATGCAGCCTAATCATTAGGCACTTCTCCTCCTCCAGGGACCAATTTACAAACCTAACCATATAACTCTCACACGCTGTCCTTTGTCATCAAAGTCAGCTCAGATGCACAGATGGGACTTAGAGTGACAAAGGGAGGTGGGAAAGAGTCCCGATGTTCTCATTATGTTTTTGCTCAGTGGCTGATTCTAAATGACAAATGACTGGGTGGGGGAACCATTATTTTGCAAGCATAAAAAGAGATGGCAGGTAGTGACCTCCTTACTGGGGACATCTCTCTTCCTAAGCCCTCCTTACTGTGTATAAATGGGTCCCAGGAGGTCTTTTTGTGTCATCTGTCAGTCCCTATATGATTAACCCCAGCCTCAGTGGGGCCGACCTTAGGGAAATTAAAGGCAAAATCATTTTGTAACGATCAATAGGCGCCAAGATGTTAGATTTTCCAATGAAGGAACAACAGATGGCATGCCGTGATCTTTACAACACCGAATGCCTTTATTTCCATACATATCCTAGCCTCATCCTAGCCCCTATTTTATTTCCATATATCTCCTAACATCATTCTAGGCCCTTTTCTTTCCCCAAATCTCTACCTTGTGATAGCCGATGCTATAGAGTGGATCACATCTGTAGATGAATGGAAGCATGTATGCTAGCATAAAATTCCCCACGTATACAAAGGCATGAACAGCTGCTCTACAATGGCGTTCTAAGTCATGTGTGTGCATTTGTACTTGTGTGTGTGTTTGTGTAAGAGACAAAGACAGACGCACAAAGGAAGACACAATCTTGTCTCTGAGGTGACTTGGTTTCCTCACTGGGTATACCACAGAAGCACATGCATTATATTGTGGTTCATTCTGGTTAGGGAGTTCAGGAACACTAGGTTCGAGAGCCACGAACCACTTAAAACTGACTTTAGACACAACCCATTCATTCTGAGGCAGTTTTCTTTCTTACATACTCCGCAGGGTAGCTTTGAATATCTATCAACTAACGTGGGAGAAGAGTTATACTGTCAAGCTATGCTATTCCAGAATAAGATGCCAGTACTTAGTTTACTTCACTGAGCTATCCAGAGAGACAAAAAGTCCTTCATGGAGGCTAGTTGTTCCTATAGTATTTATTAATTTTTGTCATAGAACATTCTCTAAAAACAAGCTTATGGGAAAACACCACAATTATTTCTGTGGCAGGGAAGCCATTCACATGATCTATTCACTTTTGCATTAAATTACAGCAACAGAGAAACCTCTTAGAATCACTTCCTACTGGTCTTGGTCAAGCGGTACCTAAATCCTTTGGTACTTAGATATATTTAGTGGAATTTTGACTTCTTCGAAAGGCCTAGAATGGGTACTGCTTGTGAAACATCTCACAAGTCTATACCACAGTAGATCTGCATAGGACGAAGTAGGAAAGATATAGTCCAGTACACCGCAGCTCCGCGTTTCTCTATCTTTCCTGGACACGATGCTACAAACTTGACCAACATGCCCTAGCAAGAACTAAAATGAAGTAAGGAACTACCAAAGTGAAAAAGCAGAGCCTAGTGGCACACATCTGTAATCTCAGCGCTAGGGATGGAAGCACAAAGATTAGATGTTTAAGAACATCCTAGCCTACAAAGCAAATTCTAGGCCAACCTGGCATACATGAAATCCTGTGCCCCCAAAGGGGAGGAAACTCAGGAGACAGAGGCAGGTAGATCTCCATGAGTTTTAGGCTTGCCTGGCCTACAAAACAAGTTGCAGGCCAGCAAGGGATTTGTAGTGAGACCCTGTCTCAGAAAAGAAAAAAAAATGTTAAGGGGAGACCTAATTTATTAAACAGAATCAAATTGCCCAAATGTGAAAACATCATAAACAAACACCCTCTATGGAGAATTTGGAGTATCCAGAAATATCAGGCATGGTGAGATGACTTCTTATGCAAAAAGAGAAGTCTGAAAAAAAAGTATCTTATGCCCTAGTTTATGTAAGACCATCAAATAAAATATTTGGAAAATCTCAAGAAAGCAAATATACCAATACTTTTACTTCTCCCCACCTCCCACCCCTTACCCCCATCAAACTGAGCTTTCTGTAGAAGCTGAGATTTGAAATTGGGTATACACATGGCTTTGAACCCACTCAACATCTCAGCAGAGAAAATGGCACATTGTTGGTGGGGACTCTGCCGTAGCCACAAGAATATGGGTACTTTCAAGTTGGTGGCACCTACTACAATGAGAGATCAAAACCCAGTTAAATGAGCACATGGTTTATTTTCATACTTCCTTGCTTAATTTAGACTTGATCGTGGGAGGCATGTCAGGTTTGCAAGAGCGTAAGGTAGGAGGAAGAAATGGGGTCTTGTCTCTGAGTTGTTGCTAAACTAGGTAGATAGACAACTTTTTGTAGAATTCATGATAAGCTAAATATTCACACTCACATGAGTAAGATTTATATGCTATGCATAATTCTGAAATCATTTGCACTTCATTTTAAACCATGCATTCATGTTTCCATATGTATCTGTATGAATGTACACATAAGTGGGAGCAGTAGGGGTATACAAAGACCAGAAGAGGGTACCCTCTCTCAGCACTCTTCTTCTGTTCCCCTGAAGCAGGGGAGTTCCTTGAGCCTGGCACTCACGTTTTCGGTAGGGTGAATGCCAGCATGTCCCATTGATCTTAGAGTCCACCTTTTCAGTCCCCTTTGTGTTGTTGTTTTGAGATAAGGTCTCACTTAATTAACTCAGGTGAGTCTCAAAGTGGCCAAAGATAACATTGCCCTTGACCTTGAGATTCCCTGCCTCCGTGTGGGGATTCTAGGTGCACATCCCCAGCCTGGCTATCTTAAATTCAAGGGCAACTTGGCTCAAAAAGCTCTAAAGAGAGAAACCTTGCTGTCATCTGCTACTTTAAGTTTTCCAAGTCTCTGAAATATACTTTCATTTTGCCCTTGTTCTGTTGCCGAGGGACTCAGGCTTGGGGTGATCAAGTGACTTGCCCAAGTTTGGAGAAAAGCCAGGCTGAAAGCTGACAATAACTCTGAAGCCCATGTAAAATTGGTATCTATGTTCATCATGCCTCTGATGGCCCCAAGAGGCCTTGAGATTTAGTTCCCACATAAAGTCAGCCTACAGCCTGCAAGTGTATTTCCTGTTAGAATATATGCCATGCTATGCTTCTGCTCACCAGGGATTTCCTTCTCTTTGTTACAGTTCTACAGTGGGCCAAGAAAGGATATTATACCATGAAAAACAACTTGGTAACTCTCGAAGGTGGGAAACAGCTGACCATTAAAAGACAAGGACTCTATTATGTATACACCCAAGTCACCTTCTGTTCTAATCAGCAGCCTTTGAGTAAAGACCCATTTTTAGTCACCCTCTGTCTGAAGTCCACCAGCGGATCTGAGAGAATCTTACTCAGGGCGGCAAACACGCACAGTTCCTCCAAGCCCTGCGGCCAACAGTCTGTTCACTTGGGAGGAGTGTTTGAATTGCAAGAAGATTCTTCTTTGTTTGTCAACGTGACTGATGCAAGCCAAGTGATGCACGGAGTCGGCTTCACATCTTTCGGCTTGCTCAAAATCTGAACAGTGTGCTGTCCTAGGCTGCAGCAGGGCTGATGCTGGCAGTCTTCCCCACACAGCAAATCAGTTAGGACCCGCCCCCTGTTGAACTGCCTATTTATAACCCTTGGACCCTCCTCACAGAGAACTATTTATTATGTACCCCAAGGCACATAGAGCTGAGATAAGAGAATTACAGGGCAGGCAAAAATCCTAACGGGCCCTGCTCTCTAAGAGCTTGTAACCTGAACCAGCAACTCTACTGATGCATGCAGTCAGAGAGCCCTAAGAAAAGGCCAAGCCGTGAAGCACAGATGGCAGAGGTCAGATGAAAGAACAGATAACTGAGCAAGCTCGGCTGTGTGGCTTCAGGAGCATGTCTTTCAGTGGACAGTGTACTTGGCTTGCCAGGAAAGATGCAGAAGGGCTGCTGTGAGTCTTAGCTCACGATCTGTTATGGTTGGCTTGGGGTCCCCTGTGGCCCCAAGAGGTCAGTTTCTAAAGTCTCCCAGGGAGAACTGAGAAAGTCTGCCTCTACCTTCCCCCCAATACCCAACACTCAGTCTTTACATCTCTCTCTCTCTTTCTCTCCACACTCACACATGCGCACACACACACACACAGACACACACACACACACACACACACACACACACACACCTCATCGAGCCATGCTCTTACTGACTGGTTCTCTTATTCTCTACCCTGTCCCTGTCTCTAGCACTGTCAGGGCGGTGTAGACAGCAGCTCCTGGCCTGCCTATTCCTCCTCGTGGGATGACTGTATTTAAAGGAATCTGTTGTAGCTCCCTGCAGTCTCCATTGTTTCTGTAGTGAACCTAATGATTATGTCATTATTTATTTTTGAATAATAAAGAGCCTCTACCATGTTATTGCTGTTGTTTGGTACTTATAGCTCTGAGCCAACTCAGGTTGAGTAGTGAAGGGAGTTTTGCCAACTTTTTCTCTCTTTTTTTTCTTTTTTGCCATTACCGTAAACTTGGTTCTCAGGCTGAGCACGCAGCAAGCTGTCTTAGTGACAGCACATTCTCTGGAAGTCTGCCATAGCCTTTGATAGATGACATGGAAGCCTAGTCGGTGAGAGCAGTCTGGGCCTCTACTTCGAACTTGCCCTGCGAAGGTTGCAAGAGACTGACATTTTAAAAATTGATCACAGCTAAGAGAGACTGGAGAGAGAGCCTCAAATGAGAAGCAGTATCAAAGCTTTTTAACAACTCTTTAGGTGGCTTGACTCTAAGCAAGAGGAAATGGAGCTGGAGCAGCACTAGGGTGATTCTTGGCCCTAGAACCTTCCCGCAGAAGTCAACGAAATCATTTCTTGCCACCTCCTATGGTGCTGTAAGAAATGAGGATATAAGAAATTCAATTGAACTGGTAGAATGTTTTGCTTAACAGAAATACATTCATAAAAAAAATACTACTGTAGAGATGAAAAAGGGAAGGAGGAAGTGTATTTCCTCGTGTCCCTGCTCTTCAATAGTGTGAATGGCACAGCAACATCTTGACTGGAGCTCTTGCATTATGAAAACCCAGCGTAATGCTGAAACCATGCCGGACAAACTTGTGTGTCTGCACACAACCTGCAACAAGAGGCCTTTGGTATGAGCAAGAGTGATGTTTGTGGGTTTAGGAACTAACCAGAAATTATGTGCACCATGCATTTGTGCCCTCCCAGAGCAAACATCTACTATATTCACTTCTGATGGGGGTCAGGGTGACTCAGCTGCAGAGTGCTTTTCTGGCGAGTGTGAGGCCCTGGCGTCCATGTAAAACACTGCAGAAAAAGCCTCAGCTGACAAACCTCTGCATAAGAGGCTTGAAGGAAATGAGATGGCAGCCATGGCAACCTAGTAATGGTGGCCATGATGCTCTTACATGGTAGGCCTTTTTTAGGAAGGCCAGACTCTTAAGCCTACTTTAAGGAAGGAACTGGCTCAGTCAAAATGGAGAGTAACAAAACATATATCATAATTCTCTCTTCCTTACTGTAGTTGAATACCAATGTTGGGGAATAATCTTCCTTATGTGTTTTGTCTGAGTTAGATAGTAGGAATTGTGTGGGCAAGAGACATCACTGATTTAGTAGAGTTTGTCGCCTGTATAGATTTATTTTTATTTTACCTTTATACATTTTAATTAAAGTATAATTACATCACATTTTCCCTTCCCTTTCTTACCTATAGTGCTGCCCAAGTCCCCTCCCTCCAACTCCTACCATGTCCCTCCACTCTCAAATTGATGATAGTCTCTTTTTCTTTGATTTTTAGTGTTACATATATTTGAATTTATAAGGATGCACAAGTACATAACTATAACCCACTGAGTTCATTTTTGTTATTTATGTGTATATGGTTTCAGGGATGCTCACTTTGTAAACAGGATCTCCTAGAACTGTCTGTACAAACAAGACCAGAACATGCAGGCAGATTTTTTAAAATAATCTTTATAGATGCATGCTCTCTGAATTGAAACATTCCCCCTGTGTTTTAATCTACCTTCTTTTTCCTTGGGAGCCATTAGCTTCCAAACTAGTTCTACTTATAGTAAGGAACATTTTTCAATAAAGCAGGGTGGGATTGCAGTGTACACCCGAGATACCAGCATGGTTTGGGGGAGAGGAAGGAGGATAGCAAATTCAAGGCCAAGCTGGTTTACATAGTGAGATCCATGCTAGTCAGGGCTGCACATTCAAACTCTTTCTTTAGATTAATTAAATAGTTAAATGTTTGTAACCAGAAGTAATATCGCTGATGTAAAACAGTGCATTTTTTGTTCAAGTCCATGGGAGGCCTATCCCTTTCTGAATGGAGACAGAGGAGGAGTGGATGGGGAGAGGGGTAGAAGGAAGGTGGGGGAAGGAATAGGAAGAGAGGAGGGAGGGGAAACTGCAGTCGGTACATAAAATAAATGAAAAATCGTTTAAAAAAAAAAACAATAAAAACCAGCACATTTTTCTAGGTTGCCTCCTGTTTTCCTAGAATCTCTACTGCCCTCTAGATGCCGCTTCCCACAGCTCCATTCTGGACCTTTTCGTTCAGTCTTTCACCCCAGTAGCCAAAGGCCCTCAGCCTCTCACCTTAAGGTTCCCTTGCTTTTCTGAAAGCCTAAGTGCAGTCCTTCCCCCTATCCTCTATGCCATAGGATCTCTCTGCTAGAGTCATGGCTTTAACAACCACCTTCAAATGACTGCTGAAATACTTTTGGGATGCGGTTGTTTGGGGCTTTGTTTGCTTTGGCTATGCTTTTGGAGACAGGATCTCAGTCTGTAGCCCAGGCTGGCCTAGACCTCACTATATATTCCTTGCTGGGTTCAAGTCTATAAAGATCTTTGTGCTTCCAATTCTTATCCTGCTGGAATGGCAGGAGCCAGCCTGTATACTCAGGTAATAGCTTCAGTAATTGCCCTGCATCTCAGCAGTGGGCTCAGACTTTTAGACCCAGTGCACACAGATGGAACCCCTGTTCCTTTCATCTGTGTGATGGACTGCTCTTCCAGTGTTGGCCATTCCACTGAATGCCATCTTCCTCTACCCTGTTCAGCAAACCAGAACCCTGATTTGACCAATGGTCCCCCCTGCCTCCACCTCCCAGGTGCCTGTATCACCATTCCTGGTTTGTTCAGTACTAGGGGTTAAAGCCGAGACTTCAAGCACGCTAGGCAAGCAGTCTACCAGCTGAGCCACAGCCCTAGCCCATGGTGCTTTATAAACATATCACTTCTATATTCCATGGAATGGGGGAGCAGGAATAATTGAAGTAATCAGTTTTCTAAATAAACAGAAAATGAACAAAGTATAAAATATTGCTGCCTTTGCTATTAGATAGGAAGCAAGTAACCACAAAATGCAAATTGTGCTGTGACAGGCTTTCAGCACAGGGCACCCCACTTGAAGGGAAGCAGCTGTGGGCTCGGCTTTTTTCTTTTAGGCCACCAACCAGCTCCCAAATCATGCCACAGAGGCTTGTTAGTTATAAACGCTCGCCCTAGATTAGGCTCATTTCTGGATAGCTTTTTTTCACTTACCCTGTTTCTCTTTATCGACCTTTTGCCTCGGGGCTTATTACCTTTCTTACTTCTGCATATCTTACTTTCCCTGCTTCTCTGCGTGTGACTGGCTGGCACCTGCCCAGCTTCTTGCCCTGGGCATGGCCCTCCTCCTCCTCTTGGTCTTCTCTCCTCTCAAAGCTAGCTTTGTCTTCTATGTATCCTCTCTCTGCCGGCCAGCCATGCCTAGCCTTCCTTCTCAGCCCAGCTGTTGGCATTAAGCCCAATCAGGTGCCTTGGGCAGGGAAGGTGAAACAAATGCCACACCTCTTTACATAAACACACATCCTTACATTGTCACACAAATACGGTGTAAACAAGAGTAGCACACCTTTGCACAGTTAAAGTAATATTCCACAGCACAAACAGATGTAGCACATCGTTACATAGCTAAGCTACTATTCTACAACACTCTTGGGCTTCCAGTGGGAACATATTTTGCAGTGTATTCAACTATTGCCACAGGACCACTATGTTGGGAGCTATTCCTCCTTAGGCCTTTAAAGTGGGAAGGCACCTGGAACTAAGTATGACTTGTGATATGGTGGTTAACTGTAGAACTTGTCAGAATTTTAATCCAGGCTCCATAATCTATCGACTTTATAACTGTGAACAAATCCTTTAATCTCACAGTATCCATATCTGGAAAGTGGGGAGGGTGAGAATATTGTGTTTTTAGGGTTGATGATGATGGAACAAGAGGGTCAACAGTAAGTCCCAGCAGACTCTGCTCTCCCAGGCTGATCATCAAACGAAGCCCATGGTGAAGCCCAGAACAGCGATCTGCATTCAGCAGTTGAAGCATCTTCAGTCAAGGATCTTACTTGGCAGCTCTGCCATACCGAGAAGCCTTGTCCACGAAGTGGGACAAAGAAGGCTCTGAATGTGAAGTGAAGTGAAAGCAAACAAAAAATACACAAAAGGAAAAACAATAGTGGGAGAATGATAGAGTTCTAGGAGGGAGGGAGAGGTGGGGGAAAGGGGGAGAGGAAGGGCAGGAGAGAGAGCACAAGGGGCCATGTGAGGCAGTGCACGTCTGCGGATACGTAACTCTAGCATTAGGGCAGCTGAGACTGAACAGTAACAAGTTCAAGCCCAGCTTCAGGAGACACTTGAGTTATACAGTTTGAGGCACATACTGAGAAATCATCTTTTAAAAAAAAATTGTCTCTTTTGGGTATTGAAAAGCAGTTCTCTCACACAATGGAGTACTACACAGCAGAAAAGAACAATTATAGGCAAATGGATAGAGCTAGAAAACATCATTTTGAGTGAGGTAACCCAGATCCAGAAAGACAATTATCACACATACTCATAAGTGGTTTTTAAACATAAATCAAAGAAAACCAGTCTACAAACCACAATCCCAGAGAACCTAGACAACAATGAGGACCCTAAGAGAGAAATACATGATCTAATCTACATGAGAAATAAAAAAAGACAAGATCTCCTGAGTAAATTGGGAGCATGGGGACCTTGGGGGAGGGTTAAAGGGGAGGGGAGAGGCAGGGAGGGGAGCAGAGAAAAATGTAGAGCTCAATAAAAATCAATAAAATTAAAAAAATTGGCAAATCCCCACAAAGCCTTTGGAGTACTAACCCAGACTCTTGGGGGGGTTTGGTCTGGGTTTTTTATTTTACAAAAAAAAAGAAAGAAAGAAAGAAAGAAAGAAAGAAAGAAAGAAAGAAAGAAAGAAAGAAGAGAAAATCACTTCTCTGGATTTGACAATTGAGAGTTCACTGTTTAACAGGAGTTGTGGCTCATTCTGGCATATCGTGCATGAGGCCCTATGTTCAATACCCAGTACCCCAGAAAACTTGGCATGGG